AGCGTTTTGTACAAACACATAGGCTAAAATAATTGAGCCCAAGAGTATTTGAATATAAGATTAATCGAAGCATATTAGTTTTGTAGTTTACTGTAAACGTCTCATGGAGTTTTTGGTTGCAAGACTCTTGTGGTATTCAAGGTTTCTTGGTTCTGTTGTTCTTCGTGTGTATTAAAAGAAGTTTTAAAAACAATAACTTCAAGAATCAATAAAACGATGCGGGTATGTGTTTAAAAAGACAATTGAACATGATTAATTCTTTTTGACAGTTCTTGGAGAATGTGGTCTTTTATAAAGAATTAGCTAAAGATGGAAACTTTGGTACAATATATGAACTAGCAGAATGCTATGTTCATGTAATAGTGCATCTAAAATGAGGAGGAGGAAACTTTGGTACAATATACGAACTAGCAGAATGCTATGTTTGAGGTAATGGTACATCTAAAATGAAGAGGAGGGAATTTTGGTGCAATATGTGAACTAGCAGAATGCTATGTTCGTGATAACATCTAAAATGAAGAGGAAGGAACTTTGGTGCAATATACGAACTAGCAGAATGCTATGTTCGTAGTAATGGTACACCTAAAAATGAAAAGGAGGGAACTTTGATACAATAAAGTGATAACAGTTAAACTAGAAATAAAAAGAAGGCTTTTAGTTCTTTATATGGTGTGAAAATAGAACATAAAGTTCTTGCACTATAATTTATAGTTACTTCGTTTCTTTCTTTTTATTTTATTGTAATTTAAGTTATTAATCGGTCATGTATCAATATAAGATAGATAATAATATATTAAAATAGTTTTATACTTTAAATACTATAAAAATTGCCAGATAACCAATAAATTATAAGATATTTGATTTATTATGATTAATTCAAAATATAATATATTAGAATTATTATAATTATTATTTTACAATTGAAAAATAAATAATTTATGATGCCAGTTCATGCTTGAAAAGTATTGAAACTATATTCGTCCTTCACGCTTAAAAACTTGATGTTTTGGATTTGCTCGGCCGAGAGATAAAAAAGTTTTTGTTTTTTTTTAGCTTTTTCTATTACAAAATTAAAAATTCTCCAAAAAAAAAAAAAAAAAAAGGTTCCACTACAAAATCCCAACATCAAAATGGTATCCAAAATAATATCCAAAATCTCGACAAGTTAAAATACCGTATTTCAAGATTTTGGTAATATCAGAATTTTAGTTGTCTGGATTGGGTGTCAGAATTTTAGTATTGTCGGAATTTTGGATATCATTCTGGATGTCGGATTTTGGATATTATTTTGGATGTCAGTCAGGATTTGTATTAGAACAAAAAAAAATATAAAAAGACCTTATTTCATCTCAATTCGTAAATCAAACATCAAATTAAATCAAACTAACAAAAAAACTATTAAAATAACAATTAAAAATACCACTATCAAATAAAATGGATAATTCTTCACAATCTTCACAAGGATTCTTGCTGCTCGACTATAGCCAAGATGAATTACAAGAGGATTTAATAAATGTTGAGGACATGATTTCATCAGATGATGAAAAAGAATATGACAATGATCTCGTGTTTGACTTAGAGCAAAGCCTATACGAGTATGCTCTAGCTTTAGCAGAATTTAAAAATGACCCATAGAAAGAATTTAGTGCAGAAGACATACCAATTTTGCAAGAAATAAGTAACGAGGAAACTGGCAATGAATATACTGAAGAGATTCTCACGATTAAGACAAAACAAACTACACCATGTGTCATAATCGATAATGATCATGGAGAAATACGACACTATAATAGAGAATCTGCTAAAGGATTGCGAGAATTAATCGGTGTCTGGGAAATTGACAAAGATGCTGTTAATGATGTTAATAAAGAACTTCATCATCTTGGTGTATATTCAAGACATTTTAATTATGATCAAAATACTGTGTATAGCAAAAATTTAAAAGACGAACGCTTGACTGAAAAAAGTGAAATCAATTGCCATATTTGTTTTTTCTGCAAAAAAAAGAAGTTTTTCTTTAGTTGTGGAACAAGCTGTATAGAACATACATGAATTGTA